CAAAGTGGTTTATAGGACAATCCCATAGGTACTTCCCTGCAGGATAGTTAGCACCAAGTGCTAAGGTCATGAGATACTGAAAAGCTGGTCTATCTGTCATATAGAGTACAATGACTCAAACTCAAAGACAGCAGACAAATAGGGTTCCTGCAGAGAAATAGCAACATTTCAGAAATGTTTTTTTTTCTCTTTGGGAAATGTATATGTGTGTGCTCCAATTGTTGTTGGCCAATGGTATCTGCAGCTAAACAACAGTCTTACTTAGTAGCTTATATGGAAAGCATTCCAGGCCCATTTCACAGCTTCTTGTTTAATTCCATGAAAGGCCAAGAGACAAATGGAACAAGGAAATAAAGTAGAACCTTGCTATACTGCAGCAGGATTGAAAACCACTTAGCACACATCATTTACTTCCTGGCCAGATTCAACTGGGTCATATTAAAGTTAGGTCAATAGCTGGTTTTGTTTGTTTGTTTGTTTGACTGTTTACTCTAAAACACCACCTGCCAAATTCAATTATCTACTGTGCTTTTGAGGGATAGGAGAATTCCCAGTGATTTGTTACCTTGGCTAAAATTTCAGAAGGGACAAAATGTGTGTGTGTTTTTTCTTTTTTCTTTTTCTTTTTCTTTCTTTTTTTTTCCCTTCATCTAGAATGGTTGGGGGTTAGGAGGCTCTGGGCAACAGACCCCAGTGTCAAACTCTTAATTGAAGAAAAACATCTCTACTCAGGAGTAGTGATGGACCTGTACCTACAGAGATATGACTTCTAGTACACTAACAAATTTTAACAGAGAAAAATACATTATCAGTTATCAAAATCTTTACAGAACATATCCAAAACCAGAATTAGAGCACACGGACACCCAGTAGCAAGAGCACCTCAATCGCAGGGGAAAGAATTGATGTGACAGAAGGAGCATTTGCTCCAGGTTCCCAAGATCAGGCAACTGCCCTTCTCTAAAAAGAATGGTGAAGATCAAGGAAATAACCTTCCTTTTCCCAATGGATCAGCTCTCATAAAGAGAATGCTGGCTAGTCTTTTAGGTGGGCACTTGGCCCACATCTGGATTTCTTCCTATTGCAATTCCCAGGCGATTTCAATGACATTTCACCACACTTTCCACATTCATCTGTCTTAAGCTAGTAAAGTGCAATACATCATGTACCCTACCCTTTCCTCCTCCACCCCTTTGCAAGGCCTGAACACCAGGCCTAATATGGGAAGAGATATCAATTATCTAATCAATCCAGGTGTCTTATCCATTCTAAGAGAGCATCTAAAATGTAACTGCAACCTCTCTTACAAGTACATGGCATCAGATATGACCTGGAACCAAATATAAAGGTGCAGAGAAAGGTAAAGCTATCAGAACACATTACATCTATATATATAATTCAGTTTTGAAACATGGATACAAATACTCATTTACAATATATTTCAACTTTCTGCCTTAAACTGCAGAGAACTTTTTGTGCTGTCCAAACTGGGCAGAAATGAGGGTTTCTGCCTGCCCTCCTTCTAGTGCAAAATCTAATCTTTTAAACACACCCCCTTCTTATCAAGGGCTTCACATCTTCAAATAAACTAACATGGGCACTAGCAAACACAGTGACCAAGACCAGCTCCATTTCCAACCATGCAAAGATGGAGCTTTAAGAATTTGCTCTGAAACTACTAGAAAAAAAGGAAAGCTAATTCTGCTTATAAAATCAGTTAGTGAAGGACACTATAATCCCATTTTTTCCCAAATTATCCTCAACACTTCTAAATATGTATATTGTGAGACAACCCTTCCCCACAAAGTCTTCTAAGTAAGTCATCAGAAAAGTCCTTCAGTCTGTCTTTGGATAGTTTACCAAAGAGGCACTAATGCTTGTTCCTTCCCTGCCCTTAAAAATTTTGGTATCATAGCAGATACAATTCAGTCTTTGGTTACATAATATAATGCTTTCATCTCCTTTTCTACTTAAAAAAAATACTTTCAAAGATTTTCAAAGCGATAAGTGGTGAGGACAAACCTGTCTGTAAAGGCAGCCAGAAAAGAAACTTCTTAGTCCAAGAAATTTCACATGCTAAATGGTTTCTTTGGACCTTTAGTTTGGGATTTGATTTGGAAACTTAGCATTCATGGTTCTCAAGTGTGAGAACCAGGCCTGTGGCCTAATGACTTCTTACCTGGGCAACTAATATAGGAGAATTATAGTCAGCCACTTGTTTGTTCAGGGCCATGCTAGGGTCATGCAAGGATAGTAAGTCAGTTGTCTTCAGAAACGTTTCTGAAGTGTGATGCTGGCATAGGACTTGGGTCTATATAGGGGATGGCTTGGGCCTTTGTGCCCTGCCAAATTAAAGGGAAAGAAGGGGCAAGGCCACGTCTGTACTGAATGAAACAAACAGTTAGAAGCCATTTGAAGCTTTAAGTCAGGTAATTTGTGCAGTACTCAGGTTATCATGTAGATTGTGGACATAATTTTTTCTTGAAGTGTGTTGAATAAATCTTATTATATATACCTATATGTGTTTAGAAGTAGAGTGTGGACAGAGAAGGATGTTAGCATCAGCACATTTCTCAACCTGGACAATTAACCTTAGTAACTACCCAAAGGACAGAATGAAGCTCTTTTTTTTTCTTTTTTTTTTTTTAGTGCCAGTGAACATACATAAAAATATACATATTACTGATTTTCTGTTTTTCAAAGATATATGACAGAATCCTTCAAAAAAAATTCCCTTTCTCAGAGTAAGGTAATTTAAAAAAATAATGAACTTTCCAAGAACAATAATATTGCCTGTGGCATAGAAAATCTATGGAACAAAGAAGCCAACTCCCATGTCAGCTCAGAGTCCACACACAGTGAGCTGGCCTTTGAATGAGAGTTGAAAGCATGATACACGACTCTTCTTTAACCACAGAGTTCGTGACGTTGGCAGCTGTCTGCTGCCCAGCCCAGATGGGCCTTCTCCATGGTGCTTCTCTTTTTCTTGTCCTCATATTCCATTCCCATCAAGCACTGTAAACCTCTTTGGAGATGATCACCTTGACTTGTCCAGTGAGTGATCCTCATCTTCTTTCTTACCAGATGAGTAGAGCAATGGCCAGTCATTCATAGATGAGCACAGTGAACCAGCAATACTCATTCTGCTGAGTAGATTGTTAGCAAGATGAGACTTCTGCCAGCCACACTAGCTGGCCAAAGAAAACAAAAAGAAATGAAACAGAAAATCCAAAAAGAAAAAGAAAAAGCAAAAACCAGTCTCTTCTTTGCCTGTGTGGGAGAGCACAGCCAAGCTACGACTTTCATTGCTCACTCAAAACCCAATGCAGAAACAGTAGGCATAAAGCCTTTGTAGACTGTTTTCTCTAGTTTTGACACTTGGAAATTTGGAGTTATTTAGTTGGTGTTGCTTTAATTGCCCTGCTGTTTCACTGATTTTTGGCTTTTGCAAATAAAACAAAAAAACTTATACATTCAAAAAGACAAAAGTCATGATCTGGAACTCCATAAGATGAAAAACTCCATAGAGAAATGGAACAAAGAGCCTCTAGTATTTACAAAGACAAATATTTGTATGTCATAATAAAATCCATGTACCATAGAAGATGGAAATTGCATCAAAATAGATGTAAAGGAACTTTTAAAATGCAACCTAGTTTAACTGAAAAGAGTGGTAATTTTTTTTTCTATTTAAGATACAGCTAAAAGAGATCCTATACATAGCCAGATGGTGTCATCACAAAGCAAACCGGAATCTAACTATCTTAGCTCAAAAAAGGGAACCTGTTAGCTTCAGTTTTTGTTCAGCAGGGATGGATTGTCATATCACCCATCTTACATTCTCCCTCCCTTGTTAAAGAAGTTGTTTTGCAAGTTTGTTTTGTTATTAATATCAACACAGAAATCAGGGAAGGAAATTCATGTGTATCATACCATGTCACTCAGAAACTATCTTCTCAACATAGTATACCAACTAAAATAGGCAGCTCAGTGGCTGGCCCTTAAATTCTTAAGCTCAGCAGTAAAGTGAAGAGCTGACTGATGAGGACTTGTACAAATGCAAGAGTAGGTTGGAATTCTCCTGCAATCAAGGTTGAGGAACAGTGTCCATAGAAAAGAAGGGTGCCAATGAACTAAATGAAACCAGTGACCCAGGGCATGCCCTGAGTTTATGGGTGCAGTCTAGTTTTAGCCACACCAGCCAGATCTGTCCAATGGGAGTCAAGGTTCTAGAGAATGTTGGAATATGAGTGACTTTGGCCAAGTTCAGCCCAAGAACTGCAATAGAAGTGGATGAGCAAATTGGTGCCCATCTAGCCAAATGGTAATCATTTGGCTTTAGACTTTGTCTCTGTAGACTTTGGCAGTCTGTATTCTCTTTTGGCCTTCTCTCTTCTTCCCATGATTTCTGCCGCTGAGTATATTGGATGGAAAGGAGAGCATCCTATGCTTTCTAGTGTCTTCATTTTTCCCAGCCTGGTTACTAAGTTTTTTTTTTTCCTCCACCATGGTCTGGGTATCTCCTTTAGTCACTCTGAGGAGGAAATTGACATTTCTCCACTTGATAGGAGTATATTGTCTCTGGAGAACAAGGGCAAGATGCCCAGTTTGTCTGGTCCCTTTGATGATTTCTTTCCAATTTGTCTAAGGGCTCCAGACATCTGGCTGTTGATGAAAGACATTGAGTGAGATGTATTTTAGACTGTTGACATCTAAACATAGATGCTGTGGCTGCTGGTTTGCTAGCCTTCATGGTGGTGGTAGAAGGGAGATCTTAGCAGTGTCTATGAACATGCCCAAAGAAGTGAACAAGCTTTACCACCATGGCTTAAATGCATTATAATGAAGTTCAGGTCCACCGAACACTGAAGAACTGTGGAGTGAGAATGTGGCTGGAAGGAGTCTACAGGTTCTTTAAAAGTAGAGGAAAAGGTGATTGCACTGAGGGATATAATCTATTTACTGTCCTTAAAGGAAGAATGGCTAAGCCATCACTTTCCTCTGACTCCAGCCACAAAGTTCCTCTATGGCTCACACATGAAAATATGGACATAGATCTGAATGGAGCCTTCCAAAGAGTCAGATCACTCTGCTCTCTTCTTACTGACATAACTTCAGTGGAAGTGGCCAAAGTTTTGGCTAAAGAGAACATTTCGTTCAAAGCTCTTAGAAAACCTATTGAAAGTCAGCTGAGGGTGGAAGCAGAGGTTGAGAGAGAAAATGATTTGAAGGAGGAGGCATTCACATGCAGACAAGTTTTCAAACAACAAGCACATTTCAGTACAATGAATTGCACTGCAACTGAGCACTCTAGTGCTCAGTGACAAAGGCTGTGGGGAAGTAATAGTTATCCACACTCCCCCCTTGTCCTCTTTTCTCTCTATCCTACCAGTAAGCTTTGGGGTCATCCTGCTCTTTAATAGCAATAGCCATTAGCAACAACTTAAGTTTCCTACAGAGAGACAGGATGAACTAAAACAGTGACTCTTCATGTACCTGTAATTTTTACTTTCTTGTCACTGCTGGCTTCTTTGGGAATCCTATGTGTTTATTTATTATTGTGAAGAAACAAACCTAGCATATTTTTTTTGGCTTTTTATTTTCTATGTTTGTTTCTTCCCCAGATACTTATAGCTCTCTAAACTTGACATGGCATAAGGTGAGTAAACATTTGAGTGGTTGGCACACAGCACAGTGCTGTAAACAAGCACAATTGACACTGGGCCACATGAGGATCACCACAAATTCAAAGAAATACAACACAACTCAAAACACAGGCAGAAGCCACAACAGGCAGCAAATTCAAAATGTGCCATGGGAGGGTGAAAGAGGGAGAGAAGAAGAAAATGAAAGAAAGAAAAGCCCAGGAAATAGAACAGAGGAACATGTTCACGACAGACTGTACATCAGTAGAGGAATTTCCCCCAAGGCACTGCAGAGAAGTAGTGCAGAATTATATAACAGGCAGAAGACATCTGAAAAAGCAAACAAGGTAGGTTTGGGTATGAAGGTTTTCAAATCTTCACTGTGTGTGGAAATAGATGGGCTTGACTTTCCCAGAAAGGATCTTGGGCACTTGCACAGAGATGATCTCTGCCATCATTTCAGGAAAGTCCACGCTCACCATATGGGACTTGATTAACAGGTCAAAAGTGAACTGATGTAGCTCTCTTGCAATCTGTAGGGAAAGTAAGAGACAGAACAAACATGGTTAACAAAATCTTGGCTTCTGCCCAGCTCTCCTCCCACCTTTGAATTCTAGTACCTTTAGCATTTTGTCCCAAGGCCTAACCTTGATCCTGCCTGGTGTGTGTGTGTGTGTGTGTGTGTGTGTGTGTGTGTGTGTATGAGACACACACACACACACACACACAGAGAGAGAGAGAGAGAGAGAGAGAGAGATCTACCCATTTGTTCATTAGAAAAATGATCTTCAAGGAGGCAGTAAGGGTTCCTAGAGATCATTTATACATTTATACCATTTCAAGTTCTCCGGCTTAGGACTGAGTGTTCCCATTTTCCTGTCTTCCATTGTGCTCTCTCTCTCTGTCTCTCTCTCTCTGCCTCTCTCTCTCTCTCTTACACACACAGACACACACACACACACACACACACACAAACACAGACACACACACGCAAACCCACATGTACATGAATCAAGGAAAAGAGGAAAGAAAAATATCTAGACCTGTTTTGTCTGCCTGGGAAATTCATATGCCTCAAGCTTCTTCCCTGAGACCCAGCTTCTCTGTACTTAACTCCTCCACCCCTTTCACAACATCCAGCTGGGACACTGTGACCTGTGTTCCTTTCTTCTCCATTGCATTTTCTTCTTGGACCATACTCAGAGCCAGAGGCAAATGGAAGCACCTCCCAACAGGTGGTGCCAGACCCTAGAGGAGCCTATTATCACTGGGCTCTATCAGGCTGCTCTCCCTGATAAAGCACCCTCTGTAGTTTGCTTACAGGCTGCACAGAATCCAGGAGCTTGGTGAGCTGGTAGAAGCGCCTTGAGCAGGATGTGGGATTTTTTCTTTTGCATGCAATGATACGATCGAGTTCCTTGATGTAGTTCATTCGAAGTTCATCAAAGAATTTTTGATTTTTCAGCCCATCCACTGGAACTGATGTGGGATGAAGACAGAATGGGGAGGGGAAGCATGCCCACGAAGGAGCATTAGACAAAGCACCAAGTTTTCTGACCACAAATTTGACCCCCCACCCACACACACACAGAAGGAACTGTCTATTTGGCTTTCTGTCAGTTGAAGTCTTTGTTCCTGAGGCCTTCAGAGTAAAGGATTTTCTGCACTTAACATGGTCAGGAGCTAGATAAAATACACTGAACTTTTTGTGTCTAGGTTTTTCATGTACCCATTTCTAAGGTCCCAAACTTTTTTGTTATCCATCCAACTGTGATTTAGACATTCAAAAAACCTGGCTTATCCAATACCAAATACCTTAATTCTCTCCCATCACACTTTTCTTAGAGGAGACATTAAAGAAAGCTTCCTTGGTTGCCAAGTAAGCCCTGTTTCAGTTGCTTCTATCAGCCTTCTTTGGTTGCTAGAATAGGAAATGTCCTCTAGGAAGTGGTCCCTCCTGTTGTACTCCTCTGCCAGGAATGCAAGGTGGCTCATGACTGTTACTACAGTAGAGACTATAGGATATGTCAGAGGCCCTTTACTTCTTTAAAGGCCTTCTCTCAGTGAGGAAATGAGAGTACAGAAACTGGTAGAGGCTTAATTCTACCCATGTAACTGATCTACACATGAAATTGGTCTTTGTAAGGAGACAGGATGCTGAGGAGACATGGAGGGTGGAGTGAGGGAGAGAGAAGAAAGGGAATGCCCAGGAGCGGCATATTCCCTAATAACAGTTTTATGGAAAATGCAGGCCTCTTGGAACCTCTGTGCTCCTAGTGGCTTCCTCTGCAGACCCAGGTACTCACTAATGCTGAAGAGTAGCAGTGCTTTCATGCACAGGAATTCCTGGGGGGTTATCTGGAGCCATCCAAATTCTTGAGACAGGTGCCTCATACGCACACACTGGCTGTACATCCGAGACTTGTGCATGCGGTACCTACGCAAGAGATACATAGAAGAAAAGAAGAAATGAAGGGAGGCTTCCAACCAGCATGGAAGTAATGTTTCTTGGAGCCCCTCCCTCCCATTATTCTCCAAGAGAAGCTGGCTGTTTGTCCTGTTACAACTGTCCTCCAAACTTCTGATATCCAGATAAGTACTCATCTTCTCCTGCCAGGATATGGTTTAACACATGGAATTTCCAGATCTGCATTTCCTTTCTGTTGCCTGAGTCAGGGACAGGAAAGCATAACCAAATGAACACAATGGGGCAGGGACATAGTCTCCCTGACTACAATGTTAGGATCTCAGCTACAGCCAGAGCCAGGACCTGCCATCTAGACAGCCCATCTCAGGAATTCTCAGAGAGACTACCAGGCAATCTGCTGTTAATGTAAAAGAATGTCAAGATTTGCAAGTAGCCACAGGTGTTTATCTTGTCAACACCCCTGCCTGCCGCTTCCTGTAATAGAAATGTAATCATTTCTTTAAAAACACCTAGCAATAGATATAAATTGCACATTGTCCGTTCACAATAATTTACAGTGCTTCTAAATATGCGGGGTGTTTTGCAATGCCTATTCTCAATGTCCACTGCAGATGGGAGCCCACTCCCTCAAAGACTGGCTGTTCTTTACCACAGTTTGGGAGTTGTAAACATCTGTGTGCTGCTTTCTTATAGTGAGTTGTGAACAGATTATCACATTATCACCTATAAATTATATGGGGAAGTGGCCAAGGCTCAGACAGCTTCAGGATGCAGGCAACCTCTCTGTTCCATGTCTAGCTAAGGCATGTCTCTAAGAAAAGACACAGGATCCCCAATTAGGAGGCATTTAAATTGAGATTTAAGTTGAGAAGTGTGTGCATGTGTGTGTGTGTGTGTGTGTGTGTGTGTGTGTGTGTGTGTGTGTGTTGAGAGAGAGAGAGAGAGGGGACAATTCATTTGTAGCATGCAGAGAAAGAAAGGAAGGGGAATTTGACACCAGCTTAAGTGCCTAAGTAATGAGAACAAAGACCTCCCAGATGGACTATAAAGGCCATGTTTTGATATTCTAGTTCCCAAGCCACTAGCCCAGTGCACAGGCTGAGCAAGCAGGCTTATCAGTGCCTGGGCAGAAGCTCTGCAACCTATCTCATAGAGACCTTGGCTGCCCTGCAGAAGGAGAAAAGGTAGCAGGTGGTGAATTATTCAATCCAGGCTGAACTCCAACTGGACAAGGGAAGTGTTTAGATGGTATCACAAGTCAATTGAGCAGAACAGTGCTGCTCTAAGCTCTTTTACCCTAGAGGACATTTGAGTAAGTTCTGCTTTCCTTGGAACCTGGCTGTGTGCCTGTCTCCATTGTATTTGCATGCCTATGTTTATGTCAACACTGCAGTGTTTGAAATCATGGTCCTGGCATAAAGGATTCCTAGAATATTGCTGGAGGCCCCTGAGACAGAAGAGACAGGGGATGGAGAAGAGAGAAGAGGAAGAAGTAATGGAAGGGATTCAAAGAGGAAATAAACAGGAAGCAGAAAGAAAGAGTTGGGAGAGAATTAAAGGAAGGAAAATGAAAGGGCAGTAGGGGGTAAAAATAAGGGTTAGGGATGGAATTCAAAAAGAGAGCGGAAGTAGGCATTGATAAAAGAGAAAAGTGAAGATTGGAAAACAGTAAATGTAGTGCCTGGCACATGGTATGTGCTTAATTAATGATATGCAAGGAAGGTGTTGTTACATTATTCATCATTCTATTGTGAGAGATGGATGATTCAGAGAACTTCAGCAATTCTCCCATGGTTACAGAGCTAGCATTTAAGCCCATTTCCCTTACAGCATGAGAATTCCACAGACGGAAAGAATGAAGGAAACTTTACTGAGAATAGGCTTTGGCATTGCATAGAGCAGCACATGGGTTTTCCCAGCTTCAAGTTCCCATCTGTCCCCCTTGACCTCAATTGACAGCAATTAGAGTTTTCATCTGGGAAATAATGCATTCCCAGTGGAAAGTAAACATGTATGGGATCAGATTGGGTCTCAAAAATGTGTGAAATCTTATTTATCAACCAGGTATTAGGAAAACTAAACATAATGCATTATACAAAACTACATAACATCTTGTACATGAAAACATTTCAAAATGTCCACAGTATCTATGTTGCGAAGCACTGGTCTAGATTTTTTAAGGAGTCTGATGGCTTTAATGCAATTGGTAAAAATGGGAAGGAGACTTTTGAGACTTGATAGAGCTAAGCATGAAACCTTCAGAAGTTCTGTGGCATCTTCTCATGAGACCTAGCTACAAAGCTGAGGCAGGCTGCCATAGGCATAATGGGTGAGAGAAGAAAGTGGTTATTTAGAAATTGACCACCCAAAGTTGTGGGGCTTTACAACATCTGCCCCAGAAGATGGCATCAAAGGTAACTCTTGGAAGGTCTGGAAACCAAAGTCCTGGTGGCTATTCTTAGTTTCTGACTACCAGGGTTGGCTAGGTTGAAAGAGAGCAGCTGGGGACACTTTCTCTGCCTTTCATGACTCCGCTGTGTTTTAAGGAACCACAAGCCGGTGGATTTCATTTAAAGGCCTGAAGGAGGAGGAAGGTTAATTCCTTCCCTGACTGAAGGGATTTTCTGTAATGAATCTAGCTTAAGGTTGGGAGAGTTATTCTGATCGACTCCATTCATAGTGCCCCTGCAAAACGTTAGATAGTGGGTGTAGAAGACACTATCACTATCAGGAAAAGGGAGAAAGGACATGAGAATGGGATATCTAGCTGGTTCCCTTCCCTTTCTTTTTGTTCCCCTTCTCCTTCCTTTTCCCACCCTCTTTCCATTCATTTTTCTTTTTCCTTTCTTTCTTGCCCGAAGAGAGAAGATGTTACTTTGCAGCCTATAGGCTGGTGGCTGGCTGGCTTTGAATGTCCTACATACGTAAACTTAATCTTGAACTTGAACTCCTGATCCTCCCATCTCAGTGGTTTGAATACTGGGATATTTTGAGCCACTCATCATCCCTTGCCCAAAAGGTTTTTTTTAAGTCTTTTATTTTATTTTTTTTTTAAACTATGGGCCAGGAAGTCCACATCGATTCTCATTTAAAAATGAGTCTAAATGTCTAAAGATGGGTAATAGCAGAACTAAGACTTTAGGAGAGAATATAATTCCAAAATTTAAGCCCTTGGTCAAATTCATGAAATATAAATATAGCTGGTAGGAAGACAAATAAGAATTCGATCTATTTAAGAAAAAGGAAATGGCGGACCCATTTTTTTTATACAAATAATCTCTCACATCCCAAAAGACATGAATATATATATGCAAAGATATCTGATTATTTTGAGAACTCAGTGAGACAGGTTTTTAGGAAGTACTGAGAATAGTCCTGGCGTGAAAGTCATTTCTTAACCAATAGTGACTGATATAAGCTGACTGACAGAAGTCCTCAGTGGTAGCAGTAGCAGAGGAATACAAGGATGGTCATAGGAATACTTACTCGTTGAAAACCAGGTCAGGTGCAAAGTAGAGCATCCTGGAGTTGACATTGGTGAAGGACCGCCAACCCATAGCAAACACCATGAGTCCCATCCAGGAATACTGAATGACTGCCATCTGGTCATCCACATGCAAGTTGCGGAATCCTGGAGAAGATGGGACAAAGGCAAAGTCAGATTGTCGTTGGTGGGCTGAGTTATGTCTGAGCCTCTGATTTGTTGAGAAATTGGTTCCCACATAGCCACTGAAACGCCCTAAAGAATATTAGTAATTGCGCCTGAGGGAAGGGTGGTGAAGAAGAAAAATGTGCACAATGGGGACCAATTCTTCTTCACTGAGCTCTTCCAATGAGATCATGGTAGCATCAGAAAAGGTACTGATATTTGGGGAAAAGTCATAATCTCACATTATTTATAGTGAGTTGACTCTTTTCTAAGCACTTTTCTTCTATTACTGATTTCATCCTCACACAGATAAATAATACATACATAGGTCCTTTTGTCATCCCCATTCTGTGCATTAGTAAAAATGATTTACAGAGAAGCTAAGTAATGTGTTCAAGGTTATATGGCTGTATCAAGCAGACCGATTTCCCAAGTCCACATTCTTGATCATTACACCATTGGCAAGATACAGTTTAATTGCCAGTTCTCCTACGTAGACAGTTCTCACTTTACAAAGCTGTCTTCTAGTTGTAATCTGATGTCAGCTATGCCACAAGTGGGAGGGGGATACTCTTACATATCTGCAAATGATGGGAGGTGTTTAAACAAGCAATATTTTCTCCACACCTCCTTTAGGCTTTTTTCTTCCACTAATCTCTTTCCTTTTTTCTTACTTAATTTTAACCCTCTAGTTTTATATCTGCATCACACCTAAGCTGCTGCTGTTATACAGAAAAAGGCTCTTTATGAACTGCACCAGTAGACTAATTTCTTGTCTCTTGCCTTCTGACAAATTAGGTCCCACCTCTTTAAAACTTACAAGTTTTTCAATGCCTCATGATATTCCGGGCCTCTGCCTAGGTAGATACCTTTGCCTAGGATATAACACACATGTGAGTGTTTTTCAAGAACTTTCCCCAAAACTACCTCCATTGTGGAACATTTTCCAACTTATCTAAGAGCATGGAGCAATGATTACCCCTTTACCTTTTCAAAGAACCTGGAGCAGTTTTTGTCAACTAAAGAGCTCAGTTCCCAATATTGTGAATTAGAAATGGACAAAGCATTATTCTCTACAAGACTTCAAGCTTCCCATCCATCATTAATACAGAGCCTAGCCTAGGTATTTGACTGGACACTTGGAAAATATTAGTCAGACACATGAAGTGTGGATCCTCATTAGTTTTCATTCAATTTTTATAAAGTGGGAATTTGATTTCTTCTAAATAGCTTCCCTTAAGTGCAGGAAGCAGCCTCCATAATGTTGTATCAGTAATAACTCATAGGTAGAACATGTAGGCCAATTTTCCGGAAACTTTCCAATTCTTTGCATGATTAAAAAAATGTAAAAGTATTACCCCACAGATCACCCTTACCAGTATCACTCTCATTTTTCTCCTACAAATTCAGAAGTACCATTAAGAATGTTTCTTTGAATTTGGAGTAAGCATCTGTGACTTGACCTCATTTTTTTCTAATGACCCCAGATGACAGGCAATGTGACACTTACTTTATCAACATAGTACCTAACGATTAGGGCAGTTATGTGACTTGCAGTCAACATGGCTAAACTAGATTTGGAATTCAGGAATTTTAGTTCTGTGTTCCACTCTTTCTTTTAAACATCTTCTGGTTGTCACAGCTCAGAGGTTATTCAGGTCATCTGCTTTTCTTTACCATGGGCTCAGGTGTAATGTCTTCATGATCAAAATGCTCTCTGCACACTCACCTACACACTTACCCCTTCCATTTTCATTTTGTTTTGGATCTCAAGTCTCTCAATCATATTCTATAATCTTAGTTCCCAGGCCAGTGCTTCTCTCTTCATTGTATTGACAAATGAACAGACTGGCTGGAGCCTCAAACTACAGAGCATTTCTCTCCCAGAATCCTTCTATATTATAGAATCCCTGACACTGATCCTACCCCGTTGAAGACAAGAGGCCAGGTTTAATGAGGCAATAGTTAAGGTTCACCCGAAGAAAGAGTCCTAGGAGTTTGTACACTGAGAATCTGTAGTGTGATGCAGTAGATAGGAAAAAAAACTGGTTAGTAAGCTTTGATCTTCTGGTGGAATGTGTGACTCTGAAGGTATGTGTAGGGGGAAGTATTAAACTGTGTAGGTATCAAAATAAGTATACAGATGCTCCCCCCACCCAATTCTCCAATACCAGAAAACTAACAAAAAGATGAAAGGGGATCATTTCAGTTAGAGTGTAATAATAATTAACAGTACTTATAGCTGCTAAGCACTCAGACACAGTGCCTTTGTACACATGAAAAATGTAGAATACCAGGTTTCCATTATAGTTGCATTATGTTTGTAATACCCAACTGTTCTTTTAATATATAGCTTTTGAAGTAGCCTATTCAGACTACATGGATAATAAGGGAAGACAGGGGAAAATTGTAGTCTTAGGCTATTGTTAGGTTTTTCTGGTGAAATGAGAGGAATTATGCTCAGGTTTTGAGACACAACCATCAAGGAATAGATGATTCTTTGTTTTCTAATTAGAATTCAATCAATATTATTAATAGTAACAATCCACACTACTGAAGTATATGTTCTCATGTCTGGGACAATTTGTGAAAAACAGATCCAGGACATTTCTGTTGTTCTATTGCATTGGCCAGCCAATACACAGTTCAAACCTGAGAACAATGTCTAAGGAAGGCTGGTGGTAATTTAGAATGACCTTAATGCAAGGTGTAGATTTAGGACTCAAGCATAATTCTAGGCTACCATCTAGAAAGCAGCTACTGTTTCACCTCCTGTGCTAAGTGTTCTGTATACATAAACTATAGGCCACTGACAGTTCTCCAAGTGTTCTATCATTTCCAGAGATGAGGAAAGGGTTAGTTGCACAAAGACCCTTGATTTACTCAAAGTTTATATATCAAGCCAAAGCTAGGATTCCAATCCAAAATCTATGTGATTTTAAATATGCTGTGCATATACAATTGATTCACGTGTCTCCAACTTTAATTATAATTATTAGTGTACCAGGCACCTTATGAAAATTTTTCCAGATATTATCATCACCACGGAAAATGTACAATAAAATTCATCTGACTAGGTTATTGTATAGGACAGAAACTCAAATGTTGAATTGCAAATTACTTGAACTAGTAGATGATTATGGACAATTTGAATAGCCATTCTTATGAATGCAGTAATCAGTTTCCTTCAGAAGCTATTCTTCTAAATGATTCTGTCATTTATTCTGGTCATTTATTCTGGAAAGACAGATGCTAAACTGATTTTTTTTGCTCACAGATTTTTTTTTTAATGCAAGGAGAAGACTTCCCATGCTGAGGTTTGAGTTAGACTTTCCAGGTAAAAGAAATTCTTCTATGGTCATTTGCACTAGGTTATTTGTAAGGCCACCGAATTAAAAGTCAAAGCATATGAGTTCAAGCTCTGATTCTATTTTTACATAACTAATGCAGTAAGTTAGTTCACTTTTTTGAGCTGAGGTATGTGAAAGAGAAATAACAAGATGATTTCTGAGACTCATATATATGGAAAGGCTGTGAATCCTATAAAATGAGACATGTTAAATATTTGAAATTGAGAATCACCATTAAAAATGACATCAAGACGTCCAGCTGGACAAATGATAATAATGTTTTTTTTCTTGTTTGTATTCTTGCTCCCCATGTGAACTCTCAGTTTTGGCACAGTGCATATCCAGTGACAGTCCTTGGGCTTCCTGCCCAATAATCTTATTGGCTACTTAAACTCTGTTTTCTGATGTGAGAAAGTAGTATTGAAGTTCTAGAAGCTGGAACAGGGGCCTTGTGAATTAGAAATACAAATTCAATTCTTTACAAACAAATTGAAATTTTATAAAAGTAGAAATCCCATTACATGAGAAGGTGGCCTTCCAGGAGGTTTTTACCCATCATTGTAAAGGCAAAAATGACCAAACCAGAGAGTCATTATACACAACAGCTAGAGTTCATAGCTTGGAGGTAGTTGGGAATTAGGAGGGCCTGGACTCAAGCTGTATTTACTTTATTTATGTATGTACATGTGTGTTTTTGTCTTTAACTGTAAGACAATCATATTCTATGTAAAACAGAGGGATGAGCACCTACTTCATAGGGATAAACCAATCAGAAAGCTGCTTTGTTTCCACTAAAAGGAATAAAGGTTTTTATTAAAAAAGAGGGTTAATCTTTGATTTCACAGGAAGAGAGCTGGTTGTTGAAAATTTAAAAGAATTTTTTGAATCATATAATCTTGGAATTAGGAGGTTCTTTAAAGAGCATATGCTTCATTGCCTGTCAAAACTAATTCTCAACAGCCAGAAGATTCTGTGCTAGTGACTACCAGGTTATGTTGTAGTTTGACGTAGTGCTGAGGGAGATAAGATGGTGAGGTGGTGAGGATTAGGTAGAGAGAGATTCTGCCTTTAAATCTATGGAGTGGGTCACTTGTATCTGTGCACAATGCTTTTTAAGAAACAAGCAATTTGTCTGTTTAAGGAATGTTTGCGACTCCATAGGTAGAAGCTATCTAATGCCTCCATAATCCATTATAGTTAAATAATAAGGATTGTTTAAATAATAAATAGCCTAGTGAGGAAGTGAATTCCCATTTGTTACTGGAGGTATCTTAGAGAAGTAAGAAAATCATTTGGTAGATTTTTCAGCACTACCTAACCTTTCTTCCCACTATGATTTCTAAAGTACTGTTAAGCAAACAAACAAACCAAAAAAAAAAAAATACTAAGGGTTCCTTCATGTGAAGTTTAAAAGTTATCAGGTTAGTTCAAGATACTCTTGATATGCACAGATAAAGAGACAGACACAGAAGGGTAAAGGGTCACAAATGGTTTTGAACAGAGCTAAGACAAGAACCTGAGTATTCTGGCTTCCGAATTTCTTTCTACCATTTCAGGTAATTCCTGTGGGATAGCTCAGATTTAATACTTCCTCTGGAATGAACTTACATGTTTACATGTAGAAGAATATCTTGATGTGGGGTTACACGACAAAGTATGATTACTGGGCATCAGTGGAGTCATATGGGATACTGACATGCTGAAAGCTCTTGCTTTCTGACTCTCAATTTCTTTAATGTTTAAAGTTAGACTTTTTGTATGACAATCATTTATCCACAGTGTGGCATTGAGTACTGCTTGAGTTAATGAGTGCCTGGTCCAAAGAACCATTCACTTAACATGATATTCTTTATCCCACATCCTCATTTTCCTTTTCCTTACCAGGCAAGGCCTTGGCCCACTTGACCACATGTACAAGCTGTCTCTCGCCGAGCTCGTTGAGGCTAGATAACAAGGCCGCAAAGGAATCAGGCTGGTTATTGTCATGTCCAGCACACACCACTCCTGGCTCAATGGCTTCCAGAACATTAAGAAAGATGGGCTGACATTCATAGCCTTCAATGTGTGATACTGTCATCTTCTGGGATGGGTCCTCAGTGGGGCTTCCAGCACTGGAATTTTCTCCTTCCTCCTGTAGTTTTAGATTTCCAAGTTTTTTCAGCTTACGAGCTATTGAGAAGTAAAAGAAATTGTATTTATTTTCAGTGGCCAAAATTACACACTATAGTTGCCCTGTTAGGAAAAGTGACTGAGCTGAAAAAAAAAATTAGGTCTTTCTCTCTGGTCACAGAGTCTAAGTTTCTGAAGGACAAATATTTATTCAACGATGGTTGAATGAATGAATTATCCGCCATCCATGCTAATCCCTTGTTGTTTTCTCCTTTGGTCCATGTTCCAGGCCACTATAGTATATCCTTAAATTAGCTCAGCCTGGGACTTTCAGTTGATTCATTCAGAAAAAAAATCATGAATTATTTCTTTATTTGTCTGTTCTCCACACTTACATTGGAAAGATTGTTTTTAGGTAATATAAAGAATGTAGGCCCAGATAAAATATTGTAGAAGATAAATAAACACCCACAAACAATTCTAAGAAGTGCCAGACTAGTAAAATCTACAACAGAGATATCATAAAAGGAAAAAAAAATGTATTTCTACATGGTGAGGTTATGAAATACTTTACCTCAAAGTTGGCAATTCACCTAGAGCTTAAATACTGATAAGAATTTCACCAGGATGAAATAGGTATAAAGGGCATGAAGAAATGGTAGAAACTAGAAATTAATGTGCCTATATTTTATATTGTATATGGGAAAAGACTGGTTATATCTATCATGTTATGAACAAACAATGGCCTGGTTTTAATGGACAATGTGTATTGTATTCAGAAGTACAGGTTTTGTCTTAAAGGTAATAGACCAATAATGAATATGAATACTGTAAACAAAACAATATAAATTTGTCTATATTTGATATTAAGAAGTACTGACCTATATATTATAGGCAAATTCTGATTGTTGTAAAGAAGAGAGTTAGGAAAATGCATCTATGTTAGAGAAAGTAACCCAAAAGACCTGGTGATTAAAGATCTGGACTCATTCTGTGCGTTCTAAATGGGTAACAAAAAGAATAAAAATTTGGAAACCAGTTCCCATTTTTCTGTATATACATTCTTTTCAGCACTGGGGACTGAACATAGTCAATACTCAATAACTGCTCATCACCTAGTCAATATCCTAAGTCCTCTCTTTTTCTTAGTAACTAGAATTTAACAAAGCTGGTCAGGCTTGCTTTAAATTTACTCTGAAAGGTGGGTAGGCCTTGGATTTGTGATTCTTCTGTCTCAGTTTCTCAGTAGCTGGAAGTACAGGTCATTGCTACCAGGTTTAGCTCTCTCTCTCTCTCACATACACTTATTGGTACTTAAGGTTCTCTGTGGACAGCAAGATTGCCACATACTCATGTAAAGATTCAGATACTAGATTTACAGCAATTGAGAATTTATGTATCAGATGGAAATGAAGTTTAGAAAAGACTCTGAAAATCCTTTATATCCTCAGACTACCAAATCATCCCATATTGGGAACAATGAGCAGGAGTTTTCTGGTGTCCTTCTTCCTACCACACATTAAAAAGAACCTCAGATGTTGTCTGATTGATATTCATAGTTGATCATGTACCATAACACATATTGATATTCTTCTTCAGCAGAGGAGAAGAAATGGAAGGTAAAGAGTTAGAGCCCATAATAGTATTAAATATATAATATACTGTTCATGACTCTATTATTTCTTTATACAAATGGAAATCATACTGGCATGCAGCTGTTAGGATGCTAGTTATAAAATTCTTTACAATAACCACAGCCCAAACTCAGTCACTAAGAACCACTTTCCTGACATGCTCAAACACATATTCCCTTGTGTGTGAATATTTGCATGTGTGCATATGCATGAACACACACACACACAATTTAAATATCCTCTGGCATTCCAACGGTTACTTTGTTCTATTTTCCCTAGCTATTATATTGATAAGTATAAATAATTGAAAAGGTTGTAACTCTGAGATCTAGCAGAAGCAGATGTACTGAGAGTAGACCATAAACTTTATTTTACTCTAATCCTTTAAAATAATAAATAAAGAAATAAACACAAAACAAAGAGAAGCTGATCACTCAATTCAAGTGCATCAATGTAATAAAACCTACTATATATCTGTTTCTGGCTTTGTAGAAAATCGACATATCTGGAACAGACTTTAAGCCATAATAAGAAAAGTAAAACCTTTACTGCAAACTTTATTGTACTCTCACTCAGTAAATCAAATTTATAATAGATTGCATGTTCATATCAGCATCTGAGACATGGAGGAGAAAATGGTGCATAAAAGAGGGGTGTTGAGAAGAAGATGGGGAAGCCTGGGATCCCAACTTTGCCATATGACCTTGTTCAACAATCATTTCTTCAGGATTTGGGCATACACAGTAATAAGGAGATATGTACTTCCATTGCCAACTCCCATCTCCCACTTCAAGGCATATGGCTGGGGGTTTGGTATGAACCTAGACCATCTACTCCTAGAGCAGGACTGGCCTTCACAATGTTTGCCATTTGCTGAATCCATTTCTTTCACTGGGTCTATTTCTTATACATGTCCCTACCAACTTGTGATGCCTACAGAATGCCCTTGTGGTGCAGTTTCCAGAAAGACCCCACTCTTATTGCTAGTGCTTTTTAGTCTTGAGCTTAGGGAAAAAAATAATCTCAATGGTTTGAACCTTCTTTAAGTAGAAAACACACTTTCTCTGTACTTTCTCTTGTGACTTTTTCAAGGAGTCTGAATCCCTAAAGTTTTCTCTTTCTTGACTACAATCTTTACTCCTGACAGTGGGCTTTAGTAGCATTGCATCTAGAAATGCATTAACAGAAAGTTCTGAAAATACTCAGTTCCCTGCCTAAATGAACACATATTTGGGGTACTGTAGTGGTAAAAATATTCATAGCTTGGCAACCAGGAAGAGTCCTTAGAAATCATCTTATCCAGTGTTCATAGGTTCAAATTTATTCACAATGTACCCATGAAATACAATGTATAGATACGTGTGTAGAAGAATGGTTGGTATTCTGCTTGGCAAACTGGGATAAAATGTCTTACTACCATCCTATCCCTAGAAGACATTCATGTAGCATGTCAAATCTCTCACGAAATGCATGTATTCTAATCTACATTCAACCCTTACCTATCACTTTGAGAATTCTTGTATTAATCCAAAATTTGAAATAAAAGATGGGGAAGTTGAATTCTAATGATCATGAAGAAGTTTAGTGACAAAGATAGGATTGGAACCTAGGATCTTAGAGTACTTTTTTGGAAGTAATTTTATTAATTTGTTTACTTAAAAATCATACATATTTTTGGTTTTATTTCAGTATAAATTTAGATGTACATAGGGATTCTTTTTATAACTTATTCATTCCTTTAAATTTTATTTTACATTACAACCACAGTTCTTCCTCCTCTCCCTCCTTCTGCCTCCCCTTGCCTCCCCCCCAGATCACAACCAGCCCACTCCTCCTCAGGGGTAAGGGCTCTCATGAGGAATTAACAAAGTGTGACACAATAGGTTGGGGCAGGACCAAGCCCCTCTCCCCTGTATTAAGACTGAGCATAGCATCCCACCATAGGAAATGGGCTCCAAGAAGCTAGCTTATATATCAGGTTTGTAATGTGGTCCTTCTGCCTGCGGCCCCTCAGATAGTTCAAGTTTCAGAACTGTCCCCCACATATGGAGAGACTAATTCAGTCCCTTGGAGTCTCTACTGCTGTGAGTCTAGAGTTCATGAGTTTCCATAAGCTTGGCTCAGCTGTCTCTGTAGATTTCCCCATCACTATCTTGCCCTCCGTTTTTCATAAATTCCCTCCTCCTTCTGTTTGACTGTATTATGGAGCTAGGTCTGGTTCTTGGTTGTGGATCTCTGTGTCTGGTTCCATCAGTTGCTGAATGGGGGCATTCACTAACCTGATTACAAGGGAAAGTCAGTTTTGGCACCCTCTCCATTATTGTTAGGAGTATTATCTGAGGTCCTCCTTCTGGATTCTTGTGAATTGCCCTAGCACCAGGTTTCTCCCTAACCCCATAATGGCTCTCTCTATTAAGATATCTTGTTAGTTGCTCTTCCCCTGTATCTCTCCCCCCTCTAGACCATCACATTCCCTCATGTTCTCATTCTCCCTCCCCTTTCCCTTACCACCCCCATACCCAGTTTGTCTAGTAGATCATACCTAATTTCCTTTCCCAGGGTGATCCATGTGTCCCTGTTTGTGTCCTCTTTGTTACCTAGTTTCTGTAGAGCTATGGATTATAGTCTGGTTATATTTTGCTTTATATCTAATATCCACTTATGAATGAATACATGCCATGTTTGATGTTATTCTTAATTTAAAATCTCTTATGACTCATTGCTTCTCTTTCACTAGTTTATTCCTGCTCTATTTCAGTGTGTGACTCTCTGAGATCCTTACACTTTTTTTTAATGTAGTAGCCACGAGATCTGTGTGACTATTTAAAATAATTAAGACAAAGAAAATAAAAATGCAATGCTTGAGTCTCATTGGATATATTGCCACTGTTTAAAAACCACATATAACCAGTTACTACTAAATAGAACAGCACAGATAGAGAACATTTCCATTATTTCAGAGAGTTCTGTTGAATAGTGCCATAAATATGGCCTGCTCTCTGGGGCAGTTATTCTACTTGTCATATTATACTAAACACATTGATAATGAATCCAAAATGAATGTTACAGATGAACTCTGTATTGTATTCAAAAGGTACAGGGAAAAAGAGAAGTTAATATTGTTACTATCAGTGAGAGTTAGTCTATAGCCACTATTCTATACATCACTGAGACGATGATTGGTGGGCCTAAACAGATTCATTTGAAGCAAGATCAATATGCATAGAGACTGTGGGGGAAGATCCATCAAGGCAAAATTATTTCTATTTGCTTGAATTGTGCCAATAAGAACTTGGCTGGCATTTTCATATCTTCTTCCAGAGGTATAAAGTATCTATCTACTTGAAGAAGAGACTCAGCATTCCCATTTGCCTCTAGGTATCTGGTAATGTGCTGCTGTCTGTGTGAGCATAGTGGCTCCAGCCG